GTCTTCTTAGTAAATGTATAAGGTCAAATTTTGAAAATATATACTCAATTCTTATAGGGTATATCTACAAAACAAAAAAGCTTCAGTAATAACTGAAGAAAAACACCATGGGATTTGTACCATTTATTACAGAGTAATAGACCTCATTCTATCTACTTTTGTGGACCCAGTGTCTGATAATTTTTCAACAGAACTAGGAGGAAGGGGAGACTTTTTTTTTGAGCTGTGTGCACTGACAATATGGGCATGACAGTGTGCATGAAAACAATGCTTTATATTCACTCATTCTCTTGGTATAATTCAATGTATATTGACAGTGAGTGCATTTATCAGAGGTAAAACATAGCCAATGATAACAAGATAGGCTATTTTTCAAGATATGTAAGAAGAATATATGATTTGTGCCCTTCAGATCTTCAGATTTCCAACAGCAAGACTGAGTAAACTTCTTTTAGGGTTCTTTCTAATAATAATTATTACTGTTTTGTGTCATAGCCTCTTTTTGGTTACCAATTGACTAAGAACTTTTGCGCATTACACTACAACTAGCTGACACAAAAAAAACAATAAAGTCAAGTGAAAGTGACTTTCTCTAAACTCTAAGCTTGGTTAGTGAAAAAAAGAAGGAATTTTATTTCCATTGTGAAGAAATGCTTAAAGGTATGAGGCATCCCCTCTCTTAGAGTCAGCAGGTGAATTAGTCTTGTAAAAAAAACACAACACAGAAATTCTAGAATTAAGTCACCTATATTTTTAGAGCATTATCATGGGGTGTCAATCAGAGCTATTTGCAGCTGAGGCTCTCTGTACTAGCATGGATTTCCTATCTGGAAACGTCAGTGGGGGGCTCTACACATTATTAGGGAGATAACTAGTAGATTTGCACTAAAACTAATAGATAGTTTCTTTTCCTTATAAACACACACACATACACATATCTATTCATACATATTTATAAATAGCAGATACAAAAGGATGACAGCCAAAATGTTGTTTGATTCCTAATGGTATTTGCACAAAACTGTTTCTCCTTCCTCTCAGTAGTGGAAGAAAATAGTATGACTGGAACATAAAAAAGAAGAAATCACCTTCCTAATGTCCCACAACTAACTGATGCTACTGAACCTTCCACATTTTTCTTCCCAAAATGATCAAGTTTCTTTTCTTGTCCTCTTCTGTACACATACCAACTATAAACCAATTATAAAAGAGGGTTCAAAGGTAACAGAATTGGTCTATTCTTCCTCTATTTTTTGGCTCATGCCTACTCTGTTTAGCTGCTGCTTTGATGGTGCATCATAGTTGTTCAGAGCATGAATGTTATGCTTGCTGGCTATGAACCAAAAGGTTATTTGCCCTGAGTCCTGTTGTACAATAAGTAAAACAGAACATTGTCTCAATCAGTGGTAGGAAAAATTTGAGAAAATATTTTTTTCATTAGGATGAATTACTGTTTACCATAGTCCAAAATTTATAGTATCTTTTAAAATGCCTGGTCTGGGGGAAGTATGTCCTAAATTATCTTCTGCCCAAGACAGCAATAAGGTGTGTGGAGTTTTCTTTTTTTAGTAATGGGCAGCCCATTTGCATTTTCATACATAAAAATAACTCATCTAGGTAAAGCAAATATATAGTTCCACCACTTCTTAAATAAAATTATTTTTAAATTTTTCAATAATTACAAAAGTTTTAAATACTTATATATGTACTACTAGCAATTACCATCTTAGCTACTACTGAAATGAAAAAAAATTAATGACCCACTATCGCTTTAAATTATTCTACCGTACTTCTCTTCCTTGATTTCAACAAGCCAACCTATCTTTACCTTCTCTCCCTTGATCTTTATAGTGATTAAAGAATAACCAATTGGCCAGAATATGCAGTAAATAGCAATACACTCTAAATGATAGCAGATGGTTTGTGTTAACTGTGTTACAAAACTTAATTAATTCTTTTAAATGCTATGTCTTTTTTTGCTTAGAACTGCACATTTCAGACAGTAAGTTTGGTTCTGCCTTCTGCTCTATCATTCAAAATTATAGTTTACACATGACAAATGCACCTAGATACAAAAAGCTTTAATTTTTCTTGGAGAGGCTGGCGTTGCATGGTCAAAGGGAATGGATTTCTAACAAAGACTTAATAGGGCCCTTGGGCAATAAACTTGCCAGCTAACTTAGCCAGTGGTGTTATTTCTCTTGTAGTTGTTTTTTGCAATTCACACTCATAAATTGCTCCCCTGTTGGTATATACTCCAAAGAATAATAAGCTCAAGCTTTCATGTTTGTTAACATCCTTAAGAAACACATGCTGTTACTGAGTGGCTTTTTGTTGACTGGTGATACTAAATTCAATAGTTTTTTTTCTATATCACTACTGGTTTGATGAATACAGTTAATTTTAAAATCTTTCCTGACACTCTGTTCACAGAATTCATTTTTTTTTAAACAAAAAAATCAAATTACTTGCAGGGCAGACATTTTACGGAAGGCAAATTCTTCTAACAACTGACTAAGGTAAATAGCTCTTCAAAGAATATATAAAAAAATTAAAATAAAAATTACGTGTACAAAAAGTGAGGTTTTTTTTCTTTTCTAGAAATAGCACTCAGAATTAGATAGCATTTCAAGTAAGCTCATGAATCAGTAAAACCAGGTAATTGCTCTTGAATTGATTTTTTTCATTAACCCCACAAATCTATGATTTTAGCATTGGACAAACTTCTGCACGCTTTTCCCCAGACTTTAGAAATTTTATTTGGTCTTTATTTGGCATGTGAGTGGAAAAAAAGGAAAAAAAAATTAAAAATAACAACAATTTCACTAGGCCTGAATTGATGTACATGTTTATTTATATCTGCAGTTACTTATCCAATTTTATTCTTTCAGTGTTCAACTGAATTTCATATTAATTTTTTATTTCTGTGGGTTCTCTTTTATTCTTTAATTCTCTTTTCTCTTAAGTTGCATATAGAATGGATGAAATGACTCATCAGCTGAAGGCAGCTGTGACTCAATATACCAAGAAGGAAGTGCCTACTTGACCTATTTAGGCAAAATAGGAACTTAAAATAGTTTGAGTTAGACATGATGAGTTCAACACTAGCTTTGGGCTGACCCTGTTTTCCTTTTTCCCACCCTTCTGTGATGTTTATTGCTATCCAAGTTTTTTTTATCCTATTTACATGAAAATTCAAGTATCTAAATGGTAGTGCTGCTGGGATAGTACCTCTAGTACTTGCTACTTTATGAAGCAGTAACTTTTGTTCTCACAATGCAAATACTTCCAAAATATTTCCAAATACAGCAGAAATATTTAATGCTTTTCTAAGGCTGAGCATGATGCATTCATCTACTCAATTCAACAAATGTGGTAATAATGGTACTTAGAGGCAATTTATTATTCAGCTATACTAATCTACACACTTCTTTTTAAATTGCATATGGATGATTTCTAATTTACTTTTTAGTTAAGGGTTTTGTAGAAAATTTTTAAAAATTATCTCTCATTGACACCATCTTTAGGAGAAGCCAAATGTTTTTTGATAGAGAAGACCAGATTTTTCACAGGCATGTATAGAGTGAATTCTGAAATCAATTGTAAAACCAACCTAAATTGCATGTTTTCACATTTCAAAGACTACCCTCTACAACAATCAGAAATTATATCCTTTTTAATGGGGATGCATGTTTACATTCATGATTTGAGATTTTTGCTAAATGTGAATGATGATGCTGTAGGACAGTTAAGAACATCTAATGAAGGTATTTCTATGGAAACTTGAACTTGAAATATCAGAATACACAATGGAGTTAATTGTTGACAGGTTTTTTGAAATTAAATGGGTCCATGTCAGCCTGCAAAGAAACTTAACAGTCCTAAACATACAAAGTGCTAATACACATTAATGCAACACTCAGATGTACAAGTCCTAGACTGCAGAAATATTCAATCCCTATGGGTAGAAAAGTTGCAGGAAAAAAAAAAAGAAAAGAAAATTACATATTGCATTCTTACTAATGTGTTTTAAGGAAGAAAGATAGACTTTCATTTAAGAGGTCTTGGGGAGAGCTCTGTTTTATGCCTATGTTAAGTGTTGCCCAGTTTTTCTCAGACTCCCTTTCTCTGTCCCACTGTATTTTGTCTGACTGAGACACAGTTCATTTTCCTGTAGCATTTCTCATAGCTGTCTTTTAAAATGCAGCTGGTCAATTTTTTCAGTTCTTCCATACTTAGAGGATTTCTATCAAAGCCAGAACCTGTCTGATCTTTGGCCAAACACAAAGACAATCCTACATTCACTGAGAGAAATAATAAGGTTGCAAGAATTTACAGTATTTACTGGCATGTCTGCAGTATGAACCATTTTAACATCATGTTAAAATGATCACTCAGCACCCATGAAATAAGACCAATTTTATTCATGCATCTTAACAGAGTTCATGTTACATCCTCAGTCATGGTTTGTGTTGAAAACAGAACCTGATAAAAAAAACAGGTAGAAAGAACTGAATGAGCAGAAGTTAGTTCTAAGTTATGTTGTATCACAATTCCATTTAAAACTCCGAAAGTGGTTTTTTTTCTTTTTCTTGGTTCTTTAATGAAAATAATAACTCTAACAGAATATATAGGTAATACAATGTGGCAAATACTATATAGGGCAACTGCTCTGAGCAGTAGGAGAAATTAATATGTATTGTTCACAAATTAAGATGTATGCTTCTAACTTAAAGAATTATCTGAATACTACAGTTATCAATTCCTCAAGAAAACCCCAGATAATATTGCACCTCAATTTTCCTACATAGAGCAGTTGACCTTTTGAATATTTGGTGAAATACAGAGGAAAAATGCTAATAAATGTATATATTCTTATATATAGCTTGTTTTCAAACCAATTTGAATTGAGTTTGTTTATGAAGAAATGTCTATGAAATATTTATGAAGAAAATATTCTAGTTCATTTGAAAGTTAATTGTAATTCAACTGAAACTTACCTTATATGGGTGATGATGAGGGTTGTAGCTGGAATAAAAAAGTCATCCACTTTGTCAAACTGCTTTCCCACTGGCTGAGTATGGATTGTGTGATGAGAAACACTCCCACTGGCTTGTGTTATCACCTGCATAAAGTAACATCATTATAAACTAGAAAAATACCTTTCCTTTCAAAATTTGATCTCTATCCAAATGAATTAATACAGTATTGCCTCTGTATTCCTTCTCTTGTATTATCTTTCAGTTACCAAGAAAACAAAAGCAAATTACAGTGAATGAAGTTAATAAGCATTAAATATTTGAGAGAACTGTTATACACTTGACCAATCTTCATATTTACTTTTGCCCTCCCTCTTTTGTATCACCCCTGAATCCATATTTATTCATTTATATTACTAAAGCCTCTACCAGTTCTTAGTTCAAACTAAATTTTTTGTTTTCCTTTTTTTTTAAAGACTAAATCCCAGAGTCACATTAAATTTCTTAAGCACTTCAGCCAGAGTGAAAAGATAGGATGCTGTCAACTGATCTGCTGGAACATATGTCTACGTATACTCCCAATTCTTGTCAATCATGAGATCATTCAACATTGCACAGACATATTTCAGAAGAGCAAGATGAACTGAGTTTAAATATTCCTTACGTTGTTATGAACTTTGAATCTCAGACCTTCTCTGAGGTAAATGTTTATGGATGAATAAAAGAAAATTCCATATAATAGCCACTATGATATTCACATGCATGCACTTAAGAGTGGTTTTTTAAAAAATTAAAATAATCTATCGTCTATACTGTAAGGAAATGAGAGTAAGGGTGATCAATCGCTTTCAAATATGGTGAGACTGACTCAGGTATCAGTTCTGGGGAGGAGTGAAAGCTAAACTCCTACAAATTACTTGCATGCTCAAAGTTAATAAGAGTCTGTAGGTGCTAAAATGGTGTTTTCAAAAGTTACTAATTTTTCTCTTTGAATTTCTCTTATTCTTTTTTGTTATATATAAATATATATTAAATATAAGGATTTCATTAACTTCTAAAGAAAAGGAAGACAAACTGAAATAAAAGTAAATTTTTATAAATTATGAAGTAAAGATGATCATCATAGTATCAATGGATTACTTTAAATAAGGAACAGAAATTAATGAAAAAGGAGTAATGTAAGTACAATAAATAGCTTCTTGAGATGTTTGTTTAGTGACTGTCCCTAGGCTTTTTACTGCTCAGAGGCATGGGAAAAGTAAAGATTTTTAATATTTTACATCTGAAAAAAATCAATAGAGCTTGACACCTCCAGAACATCAATATAAAGTTAGTGAAGTAGAAATATATCTAAAATCCAGTTTACCCTCTAGTTAAAAACAAAACCATCATAAAGAGCAACAGTTTGCTCTCAAAAGATTGGCAGTTACAGAACATGCTGCTGCTTTCAGCTGCATTCCTTATCCTTCTATTGATTTGCTATTGTCACTTCTGACTAGGGGTTTGAAAATTATCACTAACTTTTTTAGCAGTCAGTTGTCCAACTCGTTTTTGGGTTACCTGAAATCTCTTCACTGCCCCTCCTGAGCTCATGGTAATAATACTTAAAGGAAAACATACAACACATTGCAATTACACAAAGGTTCAACTTGCCTAGATTTTCTTGCATATAATCATTCTGATCACCTCACCTGCAAAGTTGGTGAATTCTTTTCCATGTTTCCCCAGCTCAGCACCCAGACTTGATCATGTGATTTATCATAGTGTAGTTTCACTGGAACAGGATCTGTACTTACTGCCTAAAGCATAATGAAAAGAGAAACTCTTAGTTTCTGTCACGTTTTCAAAGGAAAAACAATTTATATGCTTGAATTAAAATGATGAGTAGACATGCATTGCCTGATGTTTTCAGACTATATTTAAAAATTATGTTGTCAATTGTTGAAACAGCCCTCTGATTAATTCAGAGTTACTGAATTGCTGAAAATGTGGGGTTTATTCAATATGTGCTCTAACACTTGGCATCAAAATTGCATTATACTGAAGCTATTAAGAAGATGAAAACAAAGGTTTTAAATCAAGTAAAAAAGTACTTATCTCCCTTCCCTACCATCACTCTCACTTTATACATATTAGTTGAAAAACTACACCAATTACTGGAAAATGGTTAAAAAGGAAGCGTATTCTCAAGCCACATACTGAAATCAATGGAAGGTGTTACTGCATAAAATCAACACGATATTGCTGCACCCAAAGCCAAAATGGGTTTATTTTGTTGAAGTTGGAAAGATTTTTTTCATATGTTTTCCAATTACAGTTGCTACTTTTCTTGGACTTGTGATCAGAACCAAAGTGTTTTCCCTACAACCCTGTGCTCTGTCTCTTGAGATTATGAACCTTTTAGACAGCTGAGCTCTCAACTTTCTTTTTTATGAGAACTGAAGACTTCAGAGGTATGGAACAGGAGGACAACATATTTGATTAAGAGACGCTCTGCAAAAGGTAAACAACTGGGGGGATTACTTTTTTATTTTCATCATTAAAGCAGAAAAAATAGGTGGAAATTGGTTTTTAGTCTTACCATTATGGAACTGTAAAGCACAGCTTGTTTATCAGTGTGTCAAGGAGAGTACCAGCTGGCTAATTAAGTGAACCTAATTTAAACTAATGATGTAGATCCTCAAGATAATGCACTAATGGCTGTCTGAGACTGCTGATGATACTTAACTGTACTCCTGAGGTGTTGCAAGCGACCGCTTCATCTAAGCAGAATTTGTTTTTCCTTTTGAAAATGGAAAATGAAGCCAGGTTGCTTACTGGCTCATTTAAAATCAGAAGTTACCCCTTGAAAGAGGTCATGTGTGTTTGATAACATTTTTCTGCTGCATGCTAGGAGACAAGTTGTTTAAAATAATACTTGGGCTGTTGTATAGCTAATTTGTTCAGGCATGTCAAATTTCCTTTTGGCTTCCCCAGACAAAGGTCTGACCCAAACATGTTCTGCTGAAGGACTGCCAGCTGCGTTCAGGCTCGGGGTCATGGCACAGCCAGAAGGAGCATAAAGAATTGCCTGTGGGGTCGAGCACAGGTAGAAGAGCTCTCAAGAGAGGAGCCAGCAGCAAAATGAGCTGAACATCTTTGAAGCTGGCTTTCACAGCTGCTTCTAGCTAGCCAGGATGATCTGCCAGCAGCACACTATGGACTGAACAATAATGACTGCTGACTTCACCATGCCTCTCAGTCATCCCAGTTAATGATGTGCTGCTATGCAATAATGGATGATTGCAGGTGACAGTGCTTGCTTTCAAAAATTTACAAACGAAAACAAATACTTCCCTTCATTTTGTAATGAGAATTACCTGGATCAGTTAAAAAGTCTCTCTCTATATATATCTCTAAAGATACACCATCCACATGTTCAATATCTTTCATTTTAATCTGCTCTAGAATCCTCTAAAGTACTTATTTTGATAATTATAGCTGTCATAAAAATAAATCATCCTCAAATCTAGTTGTTACATATGTGCACACATCTTTAACTTCCATAGTAGAAAGGAGTAAGTATAACATATATAGTAGTACTTCCAAGAAAACCAAACCAACATTATTTCTACACAGAAAAGCAGCACCGTTACATGACCTAATACCCTTTCAAATACATTTTGAGTTTTGTTTGGGTTTTTTACACAGTGACAGAAATTTCATTAAAGTGCTGTTCACTTTCAGAATATGAAGTTATCTCCGTATTAGTTCCTACTAGCATATATGGTTTTTTAAACTTGCAATTACAGAGCAGAAGGTGGTTTCTTATTTAAGATTTAGACTACAAACAGTTACATGCACACATATGTAAATAATATCCCCTGTATTAACATGACACTTAGAGAAAAGGCAGTCTAACAAGAAAAATGCTCTCCTTTCTGAACAGCTTAGTTTCTATTTTCTAAAAATCAATTACCTTTTTTTTTCCTGTGCTAAGAAGTACTATAAGTAATGAAAATAGATTGATCTGACTGAAAAATTAAATTCCCTTCTATGCCTCCTGTTTGTACAACTGTTTGTGTACGTGCATATCATATGAGTAAAGCAACATTTAATGGCTAGAAAATTCTTGCTGCTTGCAAAAAATGAAACCAAAAAATAAATGCTTATTTTTAAAGGATAAGAAGACAGGGCTGTGCTTGTTATAAGAAATGCTGAAGAAAATATCTCTTGACTTGTCTCTAAATTCCAAATTAGCATAACTTCAACTCTAAAAGCCATCTGTGAATCAGCAATGGTTCTACTTTTTACAGTTTTATGTTATGTGTAAAGAGGTTGTGTAGGTTTTATGCTTTCATTATTAATTTGTTTTGTTTGCAACTACTGTTTCTTTTCTAAGTTTATTTTGAATAATAGCATAGTTAAACTGGACACGGAACAAGTCTCCTTGTACTTTTCCCAAGTATTTGGCTACATGTATGCTAGGAAATATTATTTAGATCAGTAAAAAACTAGCAGAAATTCTGTTCAGGTGTCCAAAACTCCTTTTTAATTTATTTATCCAGTTCATCTGTTATCCCTTAGGTGTATTGTCTTATCAAATGTCTGTGTTAAGTATTGTGAAATGGAAAGATTATTTATTATGAATACCTAATTGCCTGGAACCATCAAAATAGAGACTTTCATTCCTGCAAAAGGTTTCCATAGAGGAGATAAATTTTATTCTATATTTGCCTAAGATTTCAATATGGATATCACTAAAGTAGTGGAAAAGTAATGCTATTCTATCCCTCCAAATAAAATTTCTTTGAAAGTGATTTTTTTTTCCCCTGGACTTGCATGAAAGGTTGTGGAGTATCCAGTTTTTAGCTCAATATATTCACTGAGCAGCACAGAGTATACAAAGCTCTGTATAAAACCTACGCACTCTGTATTTCTGCTTTTCCGCTCATTACAGAAATTTGAATATTTATGTGATAGAACAGTAATCTACCTGACTGTTCAAAAACTGGACAATTGCTTTACATATTTCTGGGGAAGGGTTGCATTTTTAATTAGTGATTAATTTAATGAATATATCTTTTTAATTAACATATATCTTTGTGATAAGCATCTCTAAACATTCTGCTAATAGTAAAATAATATATATTTATACATACGTAAAACAATAACTAATGTAACTGAAGACAAATTAAAGAGTCTGCCAATCAAACTATTTCATAAACCCTAAGTTAAAAAGAACCTCCAACTTCTTTACTCAAAAGGCATAATGTACTTTTTCGACTGAAGTCTAAATGCTAATAAATGCAATTACATTGGTATTTCATCCCTCATCTTCAGGAAAGGAAGCTGACACATGAATGTCAGTTAGAGACCATGGAAAACATTCCAGTCTTTCAAATATTGTGGATTGTACTAAGACTTTGGGTTTTAGTCCCTCTTCCTGAAGAAATGTATCATATTGGTTGTATAAAAAGTCTTGTTTTCAGAACATAAAAAATCGTAACCCACAGAGATTAATATGCAAAGGTGAATTTAACAAAAAAAATAGCTTTTTATTATTAACTTTTTGAATAAACTATTTTATGAGTCCCTGTAACAATTTGGACAGTTCAGGTTTTGAGGAATCTACATCTACTAAGCCAACTGACACAGAATACAGAACGCAGATGTTTAAAGAATGCAAAAGTATTAAAATTATTTGTGAAATTAATGTAATTTTATAATTGCAATTTTGTTATGCATTTTAAAATTTTACATTAATATACATAATACATGTGCATACTTATATCATAGAACAGTTGAGTTGGAAGGGACCTTTACAAGTCATCTAGTCCAACCTCCCTGCAGCGAGCATATCTTCAACTAGATCAGGTTGTTCAGAGCTCTGTCTAGCATGACTTTGGATGTTTCCAGGGATGGGGCATTTACCACCTCCCTGGGCAACCTCTGCCAGTGTTTCACGAATCTCATTGTAAAAAAATTCTTCCCAGTATCTAGCCTGCATTCACTGTCTTTTAGTTGAAAACCATTACCCCTTGTCCTACTGCTATCTGTCTCCAACTTTCTTATAAGTTCCCTTCAGGTATTGAAAGGCCTCCATATGGTCTCCCTAATACATCATATATAACCTATACATTAAAGATATTCATTCATTTATCAGTGGAAAAGAAAATAGGCAGGAGGGAAAGCTTTATTTAATTTTTTTTTAACAATTTATTTAGATTTCTAATTAAAAAGGAAAAAAAACACATGCTTTATTTAGCTAAAGAACTCCTGTTCCCTATGAATATGACAGTACTATAAGTAGCCCTGTAGATGTTAGGCCTGTTTGTATGATTAAAATTTGAATCAGAACACTCAAGGTGGGGTCAAAACCCCTTCATCGGTTTCATATACAAGTGTCCTTTCTTCTGAGAATCAGAGCAGGATTGTTAACTAGTTATTAACTAGCTTCAGAACTCTTTGCTCAGGAAATAATTTTATTTCAGAAAAAGAACTATCTTGCTTTTAAAGTAAATGTCAAGATTTTAGTGTACTTAGAAAACATTTTAAGACTTTAAATGTTCTCTTAATATTCAGAAAACTTATTTTCAGAATTTATTGAGTTTATGGATGCTATTTTCTAAGTTTATTTTCATATTTCTCAGTTCCACAAACTAAAATCTGTCCTCATGTAAATCCCATATTTAACCTTACAGTACAATATCATAGATATCAGTGGATACATAAACAATGAAAAAAAGAGAGACAAGAGTACAGGAGTTATAGTATTTGATTTGAGTGGTGGCAATTAAATATCAAATTTTTACACTGTCCCAGTAAGACTACTGACCATTTGGAGCATATTGGACTCTCTCAGGCTCTCCTGAGGTACCTGTATGGTTCAAAAAAACCTAATATTCGTTTTAGTTCTTCCTTGTACCTTGGTGTATTGGGTTTGTATGACAAGCTTTTGGTAATGGGGGGGAACTATACACATGGCTTCTCTGAGAAGCTGCCAGAAGCTTCCCCCATGTCCAACAGAGCCAATGCCAGCTTGCTCCAAGATGGACGAGCTGTTGGACAAGACCAAGTCAATCAAGATGGTGGTAGAGCCTCTGGGACATAGTTAAGAAGGAAAAAAATGTTATTGTTGAGAAGTAATTGTGACCAGAGAAGAAAGGAGTGAGAATATGGGAGAGAAACAGCTCTGCAGACAGCCAGGTCAGCGAAGAAGGAGGAGAAGGAGATGCTTCAGGTGCTGGTACAGAGATTCCCCTGCAGTCCATGGTGCAGAGTATGGTGAGGGCAGGCTGTGCCCCTGCAGCCCATGGAGGACCACAGGAGAGCAGAGATCCACCTGCAGTCCATGGAGGACCCCACAGTGGAGCAGGTGGATGGCTGAAGGAGCCCATGGGAAGCCTGCGCTGGATCAGGTTTCTGGCAGGACTTCTGACCCCATAGGGACCCAAGCTGGAGCAACCTGTTCCTGAAGGACTGCACCCCGTGGAAAGGGACCCACACTGGAACAGTTCATGAAGAACTGTAGCCCATGGGAAAGACGTTGGAGGAATTCATGGAGGACTGTCTCCCATGGTGGGGACCCCACGATGGAGCAGGGAAAGGACTCCTCTCTCTGAGGAAGAAGCAGCGACAGAAATAACATATGATGAACTGACTGTAACCCCCATTCCCCATCTCCTTTCACTGCTGGTGGGGAAGGAGGTAGAGGTTCAGGAAACAAGTTAAGCCTGGGAAGGAGGGAGGGCTAGGGTGAAGGTGTCTTTATGGTTTGTTTTTACTGTCCATTATCTTGCTCTGATTTTGATAGGGAAATTAATTGAATTTATTATCAAGGTCAAGTCTGTTTTGCCTGTGATGGTAATTGGTGAGTGATCTTTCCCTGCCCTTATCTCAAGCCACAAGCCTTTTCTCTCCCCTGTCCAGCTTGGGGCAAGGGGGAAGTGACAGAGCAGCTTTGGTGGGTATCCAGCCTCCAGCCAGGGGCAACTCGCCACTCCTGTCTTCCAGAAACTCTATGACTGCATTAATCCCTGGACCATAGCACTGATTTCTCTCTTTTACTCGGTGAATTATTTTCACTAAGCAGAGTATCTTCAGCATCCCAGAGAGCAAGAAAGAGAAGTAGAGAAGAAGTTTAAATTCATACTCTCCAGTCTCAGCTAAGGATGGTGTTTATTTTTACAGTTTCAGTAATTTCTCTGTCTAAAAGCTTACAGAGTAACAATGCTCCACCTTCTGAAGCCAAATCTGATCTTTCCTGTCAAAACTGACAGACACATTCTTGTGACAAGACCCTATTTTAACTAATGCTCATTTTCAAGTTAAAAGTACTCAAGGCAGAAACTTCCTAAAGAACTGGTTTCTTGATTAATATTTATTAGAGCTATTTTCATGTTATCTCCCTCCCAATTGTCTATTGAGAACAGTCACTCAACAGAAACTGCTGATGAATGTTGAAAGTGGATGAACTTTTTTCCAAATATTGTATTTACTCTCAAGCTAATTGTGTTTTGTTTCTGAAATATGAAGGCGAGTCTTAAATTCTTGTGCCCAAATTAGATATTGACTTAAAAAATGAGAAGTAAATACCTGTACAACTTTTTGAGACTGTACATCAACAATAAGAACTCTGTCAAGTGTGGGCTGAGTTACGTAAATGAACTTGTCTTTTACATTAACAGCAGTTGCCCATACACACTGCTGAACAGGATCACCATCTGCTTTGGGACAAACTTCATCCTATAATTCAAAAGAAACGGGGAAAGTGTAAGAATCAGAACAGTCAACAACACAATAAATAGAGAAATTATACTCTTTTTCTTCTTTTTTAACTGTAAAATAAAATCTCAAAAAATGTAGGGAAGGAATAAGGACAGTTGACCTTTGGACATAAATTAACTAAACTGCATGTTTTAAGTACCACACAACTCAGAGGCACTTTAATGCAAACTATACACCAAATTTTTTAGATGTTCTCTGGAAATTCAAGAAATTAGCACTGTTGGCCTGAGAAGAAAATTAATTTGAAATAATAATACATGTAGAAATAAAGCAAGCAAGAGCCAGGAGACCTTAAAAACAGAAAATCAAATCAGACACATAATACCTTGTTCCTCTGCAGTAACTAGCAGCTCTCCCCTGTGCACCATCACAATGCCTTGGAGAGGAAGGCAGTGCAAGATATAGCTTACCCTTCCAGCTGAGAGCACAGCAGTAAGCCAGGCAAATACTTCACTGGGAACATGGCAATGTGGAAATGCAGAGAAAGAGGAGGAGGTGTGGTGCAAGTTGTCACATGGCACAGGGGCAAAGCAGCAGCATTTAGAGAGAACTGTTCTTTTGGTCACCTGTAGCACTGATATGTTGCTTCAAAGACCAAGAAGCTTGTCTGTTTCTGCCATAAGACATTCTCATGGCCTATCTTACTAGTGTTAAACCCAACAGAAATCAAATGGCACCTTATTATCATTTCTTTCCTCTCTGCCCTTCCATTCCTGCAAAAGGTTGAATTTGGAAAAAAAAAAAATTCCTGTTGACATTGGTGAATTCATATTTCATAAAACATACAACCATACATTCTCATTCCAAATAGCTAAATGTAGTTACATGCTCACTATTTCATATAAATATGCACCAATCATCATATATATATATTTATATATATCTACCTATTTGTGAATATTTGCTCCCAGAAAAAGCTTGTTTTTATCAAAATTAAAAGTTACTTGGTCAAATATGTTACTATATTTGGAAATTCCCTTTAGATTAACTCAATTGGTTAGAGCATGGTGCTAACAACACCAAGGTTGTGGGTTTGATCCCCATACAGGCCATTCATTCAAGACTTGGACTCAATGATCCTTGTGGGTCCCTTCTAACTCAGAATATTCTGTGAAATCTCTGAAATAAGATGATTTTTTTCCTCTAATGGACATAAAAATTATGTAAATCCAAGGAACTGAAAAATACTCTCCTTGAAGAGGTACAGCATGTGCCAAGTTTTTTTTTATTTTCCTGACCTTTTCTTCTTTTCCCACTTATTTTAAATTCCTTGCATCACAAGGGACAATTTCACCAAATCATAAATATTCTTTCTTTTTACCACTTATCTGCTGCTTATTTCTAATTTAGAATGTTCTGTCTGACACATCATAACTGGTTGCTGTGAAAATAGTTATGATATGTCAGCAGATGATGACTTCAATGTAGAACAAGCAGCAGGAGCTGATGAGATCTTAAACCAATTCTGTGTCTAAGCATCAGGGTCCTTTTAAAAGGAACAGGAAAAATTATGTGACAAAACAACATATCTGGTACTAAGCAATGCTGTTCAAGAAGATGATGCATTTCAACACTTTTCTGTATTGTCAACATTCTTTGCCTGCTGTGTCTCTATGTTTTAGAAAATACACTCAATTTTTATATGCCAAAATAAAAAATAAATCAATTTCCAGTTTTAACAGGGGGAGTTTCCTTACAGAAGATCAAAAGCCACTGATTGCTCCTATGTGGCTCTTAACCCTCAACAAAGGAAAAGTCTTTCAGAAATTACATTCTACTAAACTCAGATACCATGGGATGCACATCTTCAGGAATTTCAGCAGAACTTAGAAATAAGTAACAAGAGTAAGATTTACTTTGCAGTGATAAAAAGCCAGGCACTTCAGAGGGATTAAGTTTAAAATCTGGTTTTTAAAGAATGATGAGCATGGGACAAATGGGATTTTCATTCTTAAAAATGACTAAAAGCTTTTTGTTACATAAAGTGAGGTGTAAACATAAACATATCTCTAATATGATGTGCAATCATCAGATCAATGATCTATTGTTGCTTGCCTTCTGGGTAATTGTCACTTCAACTGTAAGGTTGTTTCACTGATCTCATTACTTTTGATATCTATTCTAAATATGCCTTGTCTTACTTCTACATTTATCTAAACAGATAACTATAGATATAGTTCTGCACAGTCCTCTTTATTCTCAGAGAGAACACCTTCTTCAAACAATGCATCTGTGTTTGTAACAAGTCTATGCAGTGTCATTCTTTTCAGTCATGTCTCTCAGGGACTCAGTTTATACCAGTTTTGGGAACTGTGAATTCTACAAGGGCACATTCAATATATTATTAAAAAATAACACCGAGTCCTGCTGAAGAAATCTGGGTTTCTCTCACATAGCATCATAGGGATTAGTGTAAATGATTACTCTAATAATACTTCTTGTGGGAAGTATATTAGAACAGCAAAATACTCTAACTTAAGCCCTTAAAATTATATCCAGAGATAAGCTACCTCCTTATACCTTTCCCTGAATCTGAGTCTAAAATACTGACTGAACCATATTTCTAAAGATTATTTCATTGTAAATGCAATACAAATACAGTCTTTCATGTATATGTATAACCACACACACATTTAAATTAGAATCTAAAGGCCGTGATTCTTATTAGGGCATGATTCACAGAACTTGCTCCTCATGTTCCACTTTAAATACAGCGAGCAGAAAGCATGGTATTTTCTCAGAGCTAAAGTAAAAAATATGAAGTAAAATATAAATCCACATGTATAAATGCACTTTACTGATCCTTAAATATTGTTCATATCATCATATATTTCTATAATACAATGCCAACTCTCACTTTGCCCCAAATGAATGAACAAATAAAATAAAAGCAAAAAAAATTACTTTTCCAAAGTAACAGTGAAAATTATGCACCAAAATTCTCATACCAAAAATAGAATATTTTTTTCCCAGCATGAATCAGTTTACGCAGTTCTTTTCCAGTTATTCAAACCTACATTTATCTGACACTGTTTCAACAGAGTCAAAATCTTGTTTTTGAAAACTTAATATTTATCCGATTAGAGAGTTAGGATTTCTTTTACTTTACAGGCAGTAATTCTGAGGCTCCATATTAATTTCCCCAGTGGCTGAGTAATTGGTTAAAATAATTTCTCCTTAATATATACGCATAAACCCACCATTTTCTTCTTCTAAATAAAATGTGAGCAATTTACTTTTTCCTAATTTATTCTCTCTGAAAAAAAAAGCTAACATCTGATAAAACATTAATTTACTTCATTGTTGTATTCCCGCCAGACTTTTTAATCAAAAAGTGACTTGCCCTGTAACAAGTCAGCAGATGGAAGAAAGTAAATCCTTGGAGAAATTTTTTCAAAATAGTCTAGGGCAAGAAAATCTCAATAGGAAACATGTACTTGTAGCTTTATATGGGGAAATTCTATGTTTATTAAGTTACACTTACTGCAAGGGTCCTCAGTGTTTTAATAAGATGTGAGTCAAACTCTTTAAGAAGTATAATGAAATATCTAACTATGCGATGACTGTCAAGGAGTGAGATGATATCAACAGGTTACAACAGTGCATATTTAAGACATGAACTTGTGTATCACCTCTTCTTTATTAAGTCACGGTTTACTTGACACTCTACTAAAATTCAGACTGTGGACTTTTTTAAGTTTTCTTTTTCTTACAAACAAAGGTTAGCATTTACTACACTTTCCGTGCTGTAAATGTGTAAATCTAAGCAACTTCTGTGGATTACCAAGTATGTTTGAGCTAATTTCTTGCAGAAACTTTGCTCTGCCATGTAGTCACATTATTTTGAAATCAAGTATTTTGCTCCCACCTTTAGTATATATTCAAATGTGAGATGGCATAGTTCACCGAAATATGGTCATTATGTGCTAGTTCTTGTAATGAAGAGGAAATCAGGTTTATGTTAGAGCCAAAAGGATTTTTTCATTGGTCTCACAAAAAGCATCTGTTTCAGTTGCTTTTTTCCCAGTCTCCCGAAATAATTATTCTAACTGGTATTTATTGGAAAGGCAAACCAAAAACACTTTTGCATAAGAATTAGAATTTAAATGCTTTGGATGTCCTTAATTTGCAGAAGATAAACAGAGGTTGCATGTTACTGAGGAAAATCTCCCAAACACTTTGGAATGAAGAGACATTTAACCTGTGAAAGACTCTACATGAGACTCCATTTGTCAACAAGTTAAACAGGTTAAACAAACAGCTGTTGAAGCTGGTCTAACCAATAACCTACATCAGAAAACAGAGATCTGTCCCTATGCATCTAGAATTGCCACTATTGGGCTAATAAATTTCTACTTTCACTTGGCATTAATTTGGAAGACTGAAGTAATTTAGGAGATTCTGGGAAGGAGAGGAAGAGAGTCTTTACAATTTCCTGTGAACCATGATGATCCAGTAAACCACTAAATTTTATTTATTACTCTTACCTACAAACCAAAAATATCTAAAGAAGGACAAGTCTATACCCGCTTTAAAATTAAAGTTATCAAGTAGCCTACTTTCCTGGTATCTTTTTTTTTTTCCCAGAGGATATAAGTATCATGCTACTCTAGGTTTGAAAGGTTCAAAAAAGAAACAAATTTCACTTATCTATCCTGATTATTGCCACATTTCAATAAAAATACACCTAAAATCTAGGTTGCACTTTAGACCAATAAAATTTTAAAAGACTTCCTAAATAATCAGCTTTTGAATTAAATAGGCATAAAAAAGCTTGTTGGCTTATTTTTGGCTGTGTCAACCTAATTTCACTTAAGCAGCACAAATCAAGGTATGATTAGCTGTTCAAGGCATAATTATTCACACTAAAATAAATCTTGTTGCTGAGTACAGCATCCTTTGACATCAATAATGATAACTGCAGAGGCAAATTCTATTGAGAGAGTTCTGCTGCTATTTGAGTGTGCTTTAGGCATGAAAGAAAAAGAAATATTGAGAAAAAACCTCAAAGTGTACAACTCATGGGTTAGTACATATTTCAAGGTCACTCATTCAAATACAAATGAGAAAAAGTTATTATTTTTGAAAGGTGATAGATCATACAGAGTAAGTCATAATGTAGTGGCTAGTACCAAGTGTTCCTGTGAGAACATGCAATATGTCAGCTAGCAGTTTGATTAGCAGTAAAGGAAAAACTTCACAAGAATAAATGGAAATAGAGAATGCACTAGTGTCTTAGTATCCTACACAGGGATATGGTGAAATCAGCTATAAATATGTTAACAATAAAGTTATTGAAACTACTTACATGAATTTTAAGTCAGAGTCAAAGCATCAATCATCTCTACTAACTTTGGGGGATCTATGAGAGTGTTTATCAGTAGAGGGATTTGCTTCACGATAGCTGACAGGTTAATATAGAAAAACATCCAGTGGAGAAAAAGAAACCTTTAAAAATAATAACTTTAGATCTTATGTTTAGTAGAGAGAGAATCAATCCCTGATTCACAGAGATGAACTTAACTGGTAAGTTGGGGGTCAGGAAATAAAAACAACAACAAATTCGAAAACAAAGAGTAGAGAGCTGTTGAAGGACTGGGAAAGGAGAAAGACAGCCAAAGAAAATAAAGGGTTTGAAAAGTATAGAGGGAATACTCAATCTAAAAGACAGACTGAAAGTTTGAATTCAATCAAGGAAAATACAGGAAATTTTAAGTTCACCATTATAAGCTATTAATTAATTGAGGAGACATGAATTTATCAAGCAGAAAACACTAAACCATTAATAATAAATCCTTATCTGAAGAAAATTATAATTGAGAAGACACTACAAATAAATTTTTAAAAATAACTTGCCTGAAAACCGAGGAGTTTTTCACTAGGTTTAATATGTCTCTGAAATTCACATTCCACTGGTTGTATTACTTTGATTCCATCTTCATAAAAAACATAAAACATGTTCCCAATTCCCAGACCTTAGGAACAAAAACACATTGAAATGTATAAAATTAAATAACGACAAAAAAGAAAATCCTTGTTGAACTAAAAACCTAATCACAGTTTTGGTTCGAGATCAATTTGTTAATGCATGTAGTGGTAACACAGCTAAACCTATGGGATCTTTTGTGGTAAAACTACAACAAAACTGTTACATTATTCAGAATTTCACATAATTTTCTCCACTGGCAACATAGTGTCTTTATGAATACAGATCTAGAAATACATAGTTTGATAGCTGCAGTAATAAAATTGACCTTGTGAAATCATCTACACTGTAACGAAATTAATATAAATTCTTCGTGAATTCTTGTTTGTTTGTTGGTTGGTTTTGCTGAGGGATGGAAGAGTTAATATAATTTCTGCCTAAAATTGAAAAAGAAGACCCGAATCTTTGTTATAAACCCTTATTTGATATTTCTCTCAGTCAGAAAAGGAAATATTTTCTATTGTATTTTATTGGAAAGACAAAGTTGGGTAGATGCTCCTCCCAAGGTTGAAGAGCCACAAATGTTTACAGAACTATTCAATCCTTCTACCACAGTGTTCCTGAATGAGATGCATGATGTAAAGTTTTGTGGAGAAGGTGGGAACCAGATCTGTAGGATGAAGTCTCATAATATTTGTGATAGTGGTCATGACCACATAAAAGGACGGTCTCTTTAGCTCTTTATCAGCTAAGGCAACAGTTGTTGATTTGCTCTGTGCTCATATTTGTAATATTCTATTAAGAAAATCACAGTACTCATAAAATTATAACTATAATCACTCTGACAGCTAAACTGTGGGTTACAATGATAAAAATGTATATGTATCCCGGGTACAGGGCCTAAGCTTCCATTTGACATAACAATTTTTGGTATAGGAACACAGGGCAGTGAAACCCAGGAAAAAGAAATTAGAGTCTGAAATTCTATTTTCCTAAATTCTGAAGGAAAACTTATATCAATAGAGAGAGAAAATGACTTAATATAAAATTAAATAGTGAGAAAATAGGAGTAGGTGGGGGGAAGTGCATGTTTGTGTATAGATTTATGTGTGTACACACATACATAAGAGTTTCCAGTCCTTGTTAGGAATAACATAGCTAATACAGTCACTTATAAGGTAGTATTATGCAGAAGGTTGTCAGGCTACGCCCAAAAGAAGCAAGTTCTATTATCTTTGAGAAATCTTGTGGAATCATTTCCCATTTCTGGCCAAGTTTTCTCAAGAAGAAAGAAAAGACAGTCTCCGGGTAAGGTTTTCCTCACTTTATATTAAACCTATCTATTAACAGGTTACCAAAACTGGGAGAGAAATTTGTCTATGCTGTATTTGGTGTAGCACAGAAGCAGGCTCAGGTTCACAGAAAACTCAGCAATCGTGTCTGTTCAGAGCAAAAGGTGTACTCAGGGCAATATGTCCACTCCGGCCAATGGGCAGTTCTGTGTGCCTTTGCAGGTAAATCATAAAGCCTATATGAGATAGTATGTTAAGAGCTTTCATTAGAAAATGCCTGATATTGTATCCTATAAGAACAGCTGAAATTTGCAGGTAAGCCTGACTGAGGTTAGGCTGCCCCTACCAGTGAACACGATGTAGCTGAACAACAGGCTTATTGTGTCTCGGTGATGAATATGTGAAGCTGACTGGGGACAAAACAGGGTTTTCCCTTCTCCTTCAACTCATTGACTAAAGTATATTATAGTTATTAGCAGGATAAATAATACTAGAACATGAGGAAGTAAATCAGATGATAGAGATCGAGATGATAGGTGATCGAGACAGCCTGATAAACAGGCTCCTAAAACTTCCTTCTCTGTTGCCAATACTCCAAGGCAGGATTGTACAAATAATATTGGTGTATAGTAACCCAGCCCAAACTTTTCAGGCTTTATTTCCAAAGTCTGGATAATAATGTTCTTTAAAACTGTTCTTTAAAATCAGTAAAAGAGACACAATAAGAATTGTCCTTCTTCCATTTCAACACTGAGTTAGGGAATTCAGGTCACACAAAGAACCTTTACCTGTGGATCCAATTAGTCAATCTCCCCTTCCAATTTATTATGACCCAAAACTCTTCATCTGAGTGAGTGGCTACAAATACCTGTACATATATCTAATCTGCACAAATACCTAATCACCTAGGCAAGCCACTACACAACTACAGGAGCTATTCCTGTAAAGACCTAATTTTACAACCCTGTCCCACTTAATACAACTCAGCACATGTATAGTACAGTGACAGAATAACAATAAATGCAAATACATTTCCTTCATTTAGACTGAATTGATATTGAAAATTGATATTAACACTGATTTTTAAAAAAATGGGGGTGGTTTGGGTTCTTTAGCATTTGCTTATATATTGTATTATAATTGTGATATTAATGTACTTTTAAAATTTTTTCAGGTTTTCTGACACATTTTCTGACACAAGTAGTTGTGATAAGTTTTTTGTGTACTCCATATAGGCACTGTAGGCACTAAAGACTATCTATGGTTTCATGATTTGATTGTCCTGCTAATTAACTGTCCCTCCCTTGCTATCCGTTAATACTTTGATGACAGAAAATGACAGAGTATGTAGAGCCCAGAGAAGTTAATGGTGATGTTTATTAACATCCTCAGGGTATTGCTCTCTTGTAAACAATTTCCAGAGTTGCAACTAGTAACAACATTTGTTGAAAGCACAAAGACTGGCCAATGAGAAATGCAGGAGAGACTGAGAAAATCTGCAGTACAAGATAGAAAATCTGCTACTATAAATTCCTTTTTGTTTAGTTTCACAATAGTCACAGGGAAATTTGAATGTCTTTACCACAAGCACTCTGGTAAGCTATTATCTTTAACTGTTTTTTTGGCGCAGAATTTAAGTTTTCCTGAGTGCTTTCTAACCACTGAAAGCAACAAAGGATTTGACTTGAAAAGACATTAGAGGTACCAATCATGTTTTCAGTTTCATTTGAGATAAAACACTTCCCAGAAGGAGGTGAGAGCACCATACATTTGAAAAATTTGGTATTAGAATCTTGTTGCACATTAGTATAATTATTAACAGTAGAATTGTACGAAACTCTGAACACATAATTTCTACTCTGCAAGGCCAATAGAGCAGAAGGATCACAGCTGAGCTCCATTATAATCAGGGAGCTAATTGTTTATACCAGCTGAGCAACTGGTAAAACAGGAGTAAAAGAATCCAACTAGTTTATTTTTATAAACACACCGAGAATGTCAAAGGTAACTATATAATTAGGCAAGTGAAACATCAGATTTTTGAATCTTTAAATTAATTTTAAACAAATCTTTAAGAAATATGCAGAAATACCATTTGTAGCATGAATTCACAGCGAAGCCTGGTCCACTTAATGCATTATAAATCTTCCAACGGAAATAATTGAAACAATTTTTTTACTCCTGAAATATATTAATTCCTAAATTGCAACTTTAAATGAAGAACAGGTTACTTAGAGCAACAAAATGGGAGCTTGTGACACCCAGATTATTGTATTTTTCTGGATTATGAGATTAATCTTTATGAGATTATGTCATATATATGAAATTTAATACCTATCTTTTGCCAATAAAATACAATTTCCATACTTTCTATGTTAATAACACTTGATTCTGTCTGTATTTATATTTATCCTTCAGTTTGTCACAAATCACAAGCATCCATCCCCCCCCCAACATCTATTTACAAACCCTTCCTGAGTGTAAAAATAAAATGCTTAGTTTCATTAAACAACAACAGGTATTTCAATTTTAATTAAACTCTTTAAGATTATATTTTTTCAAATAAGATTTATTCATATAAGAAGATCAATCTAAACAGCAAGCAGCCTGACTGGTTGGAATCTTTATCATGTTAACAAACAAAAGTTTAAGGTCTGCATTCTAAATCTGAGCTTCTTTTGAGCAATTGTCTAAAAATTTTGAACAGCTTATTTTCTTCTCTCTCCCCAAAAGCAAAAGCAGTTCACAAAAGTATGAGCATTTAAAGGATTATTTTCAACTTTAATTTTTCTTTAAATCAAATCCCTCAAATAATGCAAGGGGGAGGTACTTACTGTAAGTGTAGACTACAAACAAACACAGACACAAACACACACAAAAGAAACTCATCATATATAGAAAATATGAACAAAAGTCATCTCTATTAGTACCTTGCTCTCGCCACAATATGTTTGCAACTGCAGCATGTAAGAGAGAGAAAGAACAGAAAACATAAATGAACAAGAAGAAAACATGAAATGATATCTCAATTCTGAAATAATTATGATGCTTTAATCTCTGATTCACTAAAACACTTCCACAGTTAAATCAATGGAAACAGTGAATTAACAATAGTTCTCTATGTCACATGACAAAATTGCAATTACCCGTAACAGTTACAGGAGATAGAGTAAACCCCATCACTTCTACTACATCCCCCACAAGTTAACTCTGTCAGTCGTTACCAATAGCGTGTTTCGTAAGCCATTACAAAAAGCACGTGCAGTTTGCATACACACAAATGATCTATATTAATGACAGGTAATGAAATTTACATAATTGCCTTTAGGCACTGGACTTCAAAGAGATAGATTTCAGGACATAGTTTTGAGAGAAACATGCAAAACCAAAATGCACACAAGATATTCATTCTTCTCTATGGCTGTAACACTATCATGCTACCAAAGTTGTCATGCTGTATAATGTTTGTCATTATCTTCGGAATACCAAGATGGGAATTCTAAGATGGCATGGTAACCAACTAAATGTTTAAGTTGTTTTTTCCATGAAAATATAAGTTTTTATTTGCCCATCCTGTTTACAATTGAATTTCAGACCTTTGAGACTAATGAAAATTGTATCATCCTAGTATTGCTTTTTCTACCTGGAACAAAGAGCAAGAGAGCAAGTATAATTTTGCAAATTTCAAATATTTAGAACTCAGCCTGCCACAAAATAAAATTTTTAAAGCACTATATCTGAAAACCAAAGGTTATTGTAAAGTAATGATCATAAGAAATAATAATAATAAAAAAATTAAAGGAAAAGAATAAACCACAGAAAACACACACATCTCATATAATAAAATGTTGATGTTCACTGAAACAGTGTTGCAAAAGCTAAAAACATTAGTGTGCTTTAAAAAGTAATGAAAGACATATTATTGAAAAGGGTATTGGTAAGCAAAAGTCCTTGAACTGCTGACAGCTGAAGGTTGTGAGTGAAAACAGGAACAACTATCACTCCAGAAAAGACTCGGCCATAGTGATTTTCTCAAACATCTTTTACTGGGCATTGCTGAAGACAGGATGAAGATGGGCTTTTTGCCTTATGCACCGCAGCGTTTTTCTCATTCTTGAGCTTTGAAAGAATATACAGTGTCCCAAATATGTACAAGGGTCCTTGAAAATGCATCAATCTACTTTCTGACAAGCTCACAATTCAGAGGCTTGGGATAACAGAGCTACTGGGCTTTTGTTTTTCCTCTCCTACTGTTTTTTGTCTCCTGATCTTTTTTGTCACACATTGTCTTAATTTGTGAGCTACCTCATTATGTGACCTTAGACACAGTATTTAAACTGTCATTAAACTGTCCCTTGACAAAATGAAGATTATTATTACTTCTTACCTTCAGTGCTTTGAAGTGAACAAATGAGAGATCCCCATACAAGCAGAAAGTAGCAGTAATACTGCTGAAGTGATACTGAATACTAGAATAAAAAAATTCTTCTTTCCCAACAGAGAACACCCATGCAGCTTTCAAACATGCTCAGTCTGTGTTTTATTACCTTTAAAAGAGCTTTAATCTCTGGACTACTGTCTGCATTATTTTCAAATATAATACTTGCCTTTTCTGCAATATCTGACCTGCCAACAGCCAAGATTAATGGAGTGTGCCATCTTGTCACTTACTCAGTAAGTAAACCTTTACATCAGGAGGCAGAATTTCTCTTGAACCACTCCTAAGATCAAAATGAAGGCAATAGGTTTTAACTATTTCTCAGTCATCTGCCATTATACATGTTCTTCTGATTTAAGGTTGTTACTTTCAGAAGAGATTAGCTTTGAAGGACATCTTGGCTGCATTGGCTGAGCATGTGTCCTCCAGACATCCAGCCACTCTAAAAGTGCCAACATCAGTATGATTCTTAGATTTATATCCAATGCTGACAGCATAAAATACATTCAGATTACTGTATATTTCAATGGCAGACATAAAAAGAGTATTTAACAAGTCTCTTCTAAATAACGTTTGGCTGCTTATGTTTAAACTGTTTGATTATTCTCCTAAACTAGACCTCTGACTGTAAGTTACAATCATGAGACAGACTATGTTTGATGTTTTATTGAGAGACAGTATTTTTTAAATGAAGACCTAATCAGTAGATCTCCAGTACTGTAACAACAGAAAGAATGGACTGAAAGGTTTAAGACATATTTGTTTTAGTTTAGGTAAGAAGAAAAAGGTGTTGATTTTCATAAAAAGAAAATTAATGAGAGAACTATATCCTTATTACTTTGGAGCTACAGAAGATAACTTTTTTTCACTGCAGATTGGAAGCCAGTGAAGACTCGTCCAAGATCCATGACCAAAAGGAGAAGAAATTGGGACAATATGTTCTCCCTGTCAACTAAACACGGCACCTGCTTTGCAAGCACTATGCAGTCAAGTCTTTCTGTGTAAAAGATGACAACTTCAAAGAGGGCATGCTAAGGTGCTTATGCAAACATAAGGGCTGTTTCACTTTGTAGAAGTGTTAATCAGTCGTTTGTTCTTTGACACGCAGGAGAGGGAAAGAAACAGCCCTGGGGTATGACACAGGTGACTGGCCTCTGTGTGGAACTTGTGGCACAGCCTGTGGGACTGGTACTACAGCTGGTACCCCCATCTGTGCATCTAGTCTGTACTTCTTTGTTTTGTCTTTTAGGGTGTCATTGGTGACAGTGTCCAAAAGATCTCTGAGGAGAAGCTAGACAACAGCCACTCCTCCCCTCATCCACCCTGCCAGTCACCCAACTACAGAAGTCAGTCAGGCTGATCAGGCCAGTGTGCCCAGTGTTTGTGGCTGCATCCTATCCAGGCCCTGGGACCCATGAATGTCCAGTTTGTTTAAATAGTCACAATTAGATCCTATGCACCACAGGTAAGGTTTCCTTGCCAGAGGATGAATTCCTTCCCAAACTTTCCCACTTGTGTCACATTCCCGAGGACAGTTTTGCCAATAAAGACTGACGAGAAGAAGACTTTTAGTACATCTTAGCCCCTTCCATATCTGTTGCCACCAGGTCCTGACCCCACTCAGCAGCAGGGCCGCATTTGCCCTAGCCTTCTTTTTGCTGCTGATGTCTCTACAGAAGTCTATCATTTGCCCTTTGTATCCCTCAACAAATTCAGCTCCAGGTGGGTTCTGGAACTTCAAAATTTATCCCTGCATGGCCAGACAATGGCTCTAGATGCAGGTCACAGTTCTGTGTTTGTCTGTGTTATCTTACACAGATTTTTTTCCGTAATACAGCAAATTAATTTCCCCAGGGCCACCTGGAGGATTTTCTGTAAGATTACTTTTATCTTCACATTGTGAGGAAATAACCATGTAATATATGTCACTTGAGGTCCCATAAATTCAGTCATAAAGTTCTACTTTTTACCAGTCTTTTTTGTAAGGGTGACACAGGTAAGAAAATGAAAAGTAATTAAAATTATGTAACTGTGTGGAACTGAACAGCATCAAATGAAATGATTTAAGATGCTAAGTACAGAACATATTAATTTGTGTTAATGCAAAATGATTCATGATTTTGAGCTTTTCTTAAAAAAAGAGTAGGATAAAAAAAGAAAGGGATAAAAAAGTGCTTTAAAAGCCCCACACGTATTAATTTTAAAATTAACAAATCAGTTAGAAGAAAATTGAGACATAATTTAAGAGTGCAATACAAAATCACAAACAACAGCCATCATCTCACCTAATACAGATCAAGGAACCTCACTTCTTTTTTTTAGTAAGTCCTATAACTTCTGTTCAGGAAAGATGTCAAGTCTTGAGATAAAGAGTTCCATACTGGAACAAGTATAACATTTGCAGATAGAAAGTATGCTAAGGAACATATTGTCTGCCTTCCTGTTTGTTTGAGCAAAATTAAGATTTTTCAGTCACGTCCTATACTCAATTCACAAATATTTGTAAATTTCAAGATGCAAGAATACATATTTATTGATAGATCTCAGTAAAATTTTCTGGTTTCAAGACAGAATACCATCTTCTCCTGTGCCCTGTTTCCATACAGCTATTACATACAAGATGTACGGGGAGCCTTGCAGAAGACATTGTATTCAAGAAATTTGTGACCTAGAGCAGGCTACATCTGCTATATTGGGCCTTGTACTAATGGCTTGGGAAGCCTGCATGTTAACATGGGTAGCTGCTGCAGGGGTATATGCTGGAATGCCCATAAAAAAGTCTGTGCTGCACGCTTGGAGGTCAAATATAACACTGCAACATGTCAGAAGATATATGGGTTTTTTTGTTACTCCAGATCAAAGCCACCACAGTATGGGATGGAGAGGGAACCTCTTCATGGACAGGACCTGTGCAGCTTGCCATGGGAAAATCCATCCACAACTAATTCCATGCTGCATAAATGTGGGATGTACAGCATGTGAAGGGAATGCAGATTTACTTCCTATCTATATTCCTCTTTTTACTATATCTCATTAAAGCAGCTATTTTAATGCATTTGTTGTTGGGCCTTTTATATTGTCATCAAAAAGAACCCCGCATTGTGCCTCTCTCTCTCCCCCCTCTCCTAGCAGTGCAGAACAAGGGTTTTTTGAATCAGGTTTTCTTTCTTTTCCTATTCTTTTTTTTTTTTTTTAAGCACAATTACAGCTCCATAAAAATCACTCTTCATGGTCCTTATGTAGCTATTCTGTGGTTCTGTGCTCAACCCTAGCCTTTGATTATGGGTAGCTAACATAACATCTGAAAATCTACTCTTCATCTTTGTTATTCATTGTCTATGTTGGCTAAGTGGTAATAGGTTGCACATTTTTCACTAAACTCTGTCCTTAGAACTTCATGAAAATCTGCAGCAGACTAAGAGCAGTATAAATTCTTACCCACTTTGGATGGAAACAACAACTGCAAAAATCCATGTTATTTTTATTAGTAAATGAATGAGGGTACTACAATATCACTTT